GGCAGGTGGGCTATCACTTAGTGTTTACGATGTTACTGAATCGTACTGGGGAAAGAGATAAATCCGTATAATGGGCTATATTTGCGCGTTGGACGACTTAGCTAAGCGCGGACTGGGTGCGGAAGTCCCGATACTGGATACGGATTTTCCGCACCCGGGTGCAGAAATGTGCGGATATTCTGCAGAAATATCCGCAATCGGGTGCATAAATGTGAGGATGTTGTACGGAAATTTCCGCCCCTGGGTGCAGAAGTGTGCAGATATTGTGCGGAAATATCCGCACCCGGGTGCAGACATTCTGCAGAAATTTCTGCACCGGTGTTAACTGGGTCGAGTGATGTATTCCTACCAGCGTTTAATCGAACAACAACCACGTTTTCCTGCTAAAAGTGCAGCTTTTGGCGTATTTTGCAATTTCTTTGCCATTCTTTTCCATAATTTCAAGATTATTTTTCAATTGTCCATCCCACACACAAGTCCGGTAGAAGAATAATTCATTCATGGATTTGGCTAACATTTGTAAACATATATAAATGGCACTACGAGTAGGAATACAGTGGCCTGAGTCTAGTAATACGAAAAGGAGAATGGAGTTAATGTTTGAACAAACCTTCCGACAAGCGTTGTACTCCGTCGTGAACTTAGCTAGGGTGGAGTGAAAACAGCGCGAACTGACTCTTGTAGATTCAGTTGAACTTCAAAGTAAAGATAAAATGCTACTTAGAGTACCAGCACGCTGGGAGAGTGGTAACTAGTGAGGGCAAGAGAAGTTTCCATTATGCCACCTTGCACCGAATTCTTGAACTCTCTCAAGGTTGAAAGCGTTAGCGGTTTTAACTCCGGCAGGAGTAAGATGGGCTGCGTGCTCAGTGCGTGGCCTAGATGCTGATTGGCTAGCTTCTTACTTTACTGTTAGGCGTGAGTTTTCGAAATTAAGGAAATGACATGCAGTTAGCAAGACATAGCCTGGGAAACCCCGCATAATACTGGCGAGGCTGTAGATATACATATTCCCAATATTCCTTTCCCTGGGCAATTTTTTGCTTCTTGCGTACATTACTGGTGAATTCCAGCACCGCTCTGCCTCATGTTGCGTACCAGATCCCTCTTACTGCTCAAACCGATCTGTTCGTGCTTTTTAAAGTTGTATGGATATGCAAACACTTGTCACCAGTTTCAACGCAAAGCCTGTCTGAATGATAGTATATCCGATGTTTCTTCATATACACAGTAGTGTATGAAATCCCAGTCTTTCAACGCATGGGAAACCTGGAATCTGATTCCAGTTGAACGTTTCACTTTGCAGCACATGCATGTTACGGCATGTGCTGCTTCCGGGCGTTCGACGTCATCGTCAGCTGTATGAACCACGTACTTGGCGTACAGTGGTTGAAGCTGCCACACTTTCGTTCACCGATGATTTAGGCGTTTATCGCCACCATCAAACAGGCGCCCCAAGCAAAGGCATAAAAGCCAGCAGAAACACAGTAAGTGTGATTAGGTCAGGTTAGGGTAGGTTCTTGAGTGGTAGATAAGTGTTACGATAGAGGGGTCCATCAAACCAGGGAATCTCCAGTTCAACAACTGACGTGGTGTTGGACGCAGAACGGGAGTCTTATAACGTGTGGTTAAGTGTAAATAAGCCAAGGAAAGGAATTTAGTGCCCGAAATTAGACGAAAGCTAGAGGAAAGTCACCAATGGATGCGTCTAATTGCCCCTAATTCTAAGCGCTCACTGTCTTATGGTTTGTAACGACACCGAATCCGAGGTAGTGAATCCACAGATAAAATACAATTAATGACTTCAGTTTCTACAAGAAGTACTGGACAAAATCCTTGATTCTCAAGAGGAACGTATTCGAGTTTTGCTAATCTTACGATTTCCTCAGTGCAACCCGGTCGGCGGCCGACCGATGAAAATCATCTTCCAGGAAAGGAGAATTTGAAATCACGTACTGTGGGGATTCAGATTTGTGAAAATCAACGTGCGCGGGGATATCGACCGGAACTAAAGCACTCAGGTCAAAGATGCTGTGACAGAACATCACAGGAGAACTGAAGAGGGAAAATGTAACATTCGCATTGCACATTTTAGAGTAGCCCGCAAACAATTTCTTATTAACCGACCATCAACCCTGAGACTGTTCACACAGGACGAAATCGTGGCTCGTGGATAGCTTGCTGTAATGTCAGGAGCTTGTTACGGAAGCGTGAGGACCTGCAACAGTGGCCCACATTTGATAAGGCACGTACAGTGAGGATGAGTGATATTTGGTTACATAAGTGCGTGGTTATCAAATAATTGGACCTTTCTGGTTATAACAGCTTTAGGTGTGACCACGAGCAAAGCTCATCATAGCGAGGATCAACTATGAAGACAGTTTTTCAAAATGCCAAGAGCCCAAACTGATTTCTACGTCAGAGTTTTATATCGAAGCGGGACCGTACAACCCCAGTGATGACTGGAAAATCGACACTTCCCGGTGCTTGGTGATTTCGGCTTCCCACATATCGGCTTGACGAACTGTTGCCGTACGCCTGGCTGCACAGATCTTGAGGAGAGTTTCCGCGGAGCAAATAGGGTTACGATTAGTGCAGCGAGTACGGAACCCCATACGGTCCATACACGGACAATCCTCATCTTGTTTGAACCTGCCGTTGACACAACCTGAGCAATAGCTTGATGGAATACCTGTCGAGGAGCCGACTGGTAGTAGTAATCAGGATAACATAAATGCTCATATGCGCCTACCGAACACACGTTAGGCTATGCGAAAAGCCACAAAAATCGTCTGAAGACCTGTCGCGAACGGTTTGCGTTATTTGGAAGAACATTCGGGTTGGACGCTGTCTGTCAGGGAAACTGTCGATGTCTGCCAATGGACATTGAATAAAAATCTCAAAGAACTGTACGATTAGTTTCTGCCCCTTAATATGAACGCGCCTTTCAATAACTGCGTATAACATAACAGAGAATTTCTTACTTCCGTCATACGTCACCGAAATCGTGGGGAAGGGCTTCGGCGTCAGACGATATTCCTTAATATGAACGCGCCTTTCAATAACTGTCTATAACATAACAGAGAATTGCTTACT